TAGGAAGCTTGACAGCCTTAATTCTGGAGCTGATGAAACTTTATTTCACTGGTTCATTGCAGAAAATCCATACAGTGAGTTTCCTAAATGGATTTGAAAGGAAATGTATGGTACGTTGGTCAGACTGAGATGTATTGAGTTCCTTTGTTTTGTCTTCCTGCAGATCACTGTTTGACAGTTGACCATGTAACAGCTACTCTATACCTCAGTGCATGTTAAAAAGCTTAGTTATTCTAAATATGCACAGTTTTATCAGTGATCCCAATGAGAGCAGGAACAGGACTCAAAATATTAGCAGAGTGCTTTGGAAAATGAAAGATAAGATTTACCAGCACTTAGTAGATCTTTATCTTTCTTTTTTGTGGGTAGTTCCTTTATCAGCCACTTGGAACACTTATGAGGAGAAACAGTATTTATAAATGAAATTGCTGTCTTAATGTTCTTCAGCTGTGAAAGTAGAGCACAGAATCCTGTAGCATAGGATACAGATGCACAAACGGACACAGTCTGAATGCCATAGTCTTGTAAGGGTGGCGTTCGGAAAGGGCATGAACACAGTTGCTAAATTTAAAGAAAGACGGCATTGAATGAGAAAATTCACAGAATCAGCTTTAAAGTTAAAATGAACCACAACCTTAATTTCCTGCATCTGTGGATTTACTTCCTTAGCCTACTCTCTTGGCAAAGATATTAACGTCTTCAAAAATTACAATTACTCACTGACATTCAGTGACATGAAGTGTATTTACATCTTGGATGATTTAAAGCCACTTTTACTCTTCCATCTTCTCTATGGTGTTTGTTTTCATACATTTATGTATACTTGGCCTCAGTTGCCTCCATCTGATTTGGTGGTGCAGCTGTAATCCACTTCAGTACAGATATCCGGCTCTTCCTTTAGAAACTTCCTCTTGCTATGCTATAGCTCTTGTAAACGCCCTGACGGAAGTGGGTTTTTTCCTCCTTCCTACTGCTGCAAGAGGTCCCAGAAATACAAGTCACTTTATAAAACAGAGAACATTCAGTTTGAAAAATGCCTAAAGAGATGTAGTTTTGCATTAACTTTAAAGTGTTTCTTTCTTACCTTATAGAAACATCGTGCATATCACTCGTATATAAACAAAATGACTGGCAAAGACCTAGAGGCTGTCCTAACATTTTAATTTATTAGGTTAAAACTGCCAGGTTATTTTCCATCCTTTTTACTCCATATATTTGAGAGAGAACATCTGTCTGGTGGCAGTGATGGTTCCAAATCAAGTACATGATTTTCTTCTTTATGGAGAAAGATAGTTGAATGATACTCCAGATGTAACTAGCAGCTTTTCACTTTAACTATACAAGTTTAAAAATTAAAACTTAGAAAAAATATGAAATGCATAATATTATTCTTTCATGGCATAATTTTCGTTATTTATTATCTTATGGCATATATATTTCATAGGATATAAGAAGACACTTTGTTCTGTCTTAGCAATATATTATTCCAGTTACTCAAGTTGGTTTCTGCAAGCTGTGATGATATGAAACAAGTGAGGTTTTCATTTTTAAGTATGTTAAGAAAATCCTCAAAGGCCTAAAATGGCAGATGTAATTCTTGGCATGCTTGGTGTCAGCATTGTGAGAGAGATAAGGCTCTCAATAGGCATAAAAAAATAAATAATGGCTTACGAAACAAACAAAAAAAGGAAAAAAAGGTAGGCATTTCCACTGGCAGAGAGAAGCAGCCTAGAGATGCTCTGTAGGAGAAAAAAGTGCTGGTTGGTCTCCTGCCACCACTAGAATGGGAGGACCGGGGGAGTGAGATGTACAGGGAGGAGGTGGGAGGCTGCCAAAGCAGATTGAAGAAAGTCAGCAACAACTTCCCAACCACCATTGCCTTGGAGGAGCTCTGCAAAGACTGACTTCCAGCCTTTTGCTTTCATCTGTAGATGCAGGATACGTGATGGAAAAGTCAGGAGACCAAACTGCGCATCCCTGCAGTGGGCCATCTGATCTAAAATATCACAAAAGGCAGTGGCAAGCCCTTTTTCTTGACATGGAATAGATACCACCTGTGTCTGGCCACATTGTCTTTTTCATTTACAGTGTAACGGAGACGGAGGCCTCAGTAGACTTTTTTTTTTTTTTTTTTTTTAATAATCTTGGCTCAGAAAGAAATTTCTTAATTTAACAAAGTGCATTTACTAAAATGGATCTGTGGAAACTTTAAAGATGTACATGACACTGGGTTGTGTGTTTCTTCATGCATTCTCCTGCTCTTAAACACAGACCTTGCCAAAGCAAATAACTGCACAGTATTTATCATAGTTTTGTTACTATGTAGGAATATTTTTTGTTACAATGCTTCTAAGGTGAACTATTTGTTAGCTCCTCCTGTCTTCTGTCTGGAGAAAGCCAATAACATGGAAATCCAGTTGTGGTCATGAACCATTGCTGACTCGGAGCTGCCTGTCCCAGGATCAGACCTACGTGAGGCAGCAGCATGGAGTTTCTCCCCTTGTCAAGACCTGGTTCTCACTGCGATGTAGAACTCCAGCAGGAGGTTTTTGTCATGTTGCACCACTTCTCTAAATGCTACAGCCTTTAAAACTACTCCCCTCTCTTCTGTCAAAGGAAGGCACTAGCACACAGACGATTTTGCTAGTGTTTTTGTTTTATTTTTTTTTTTTTTAATTTCAGGGTGTAAACCTATTCCTAATTGCCCTGTCCAGTAGGTTCTGTATGTATTATCCACCTGTGTGGTCACAGTGTTCCCTCTGCAGCGAGATCTGTGCAATGGGGCTTCGGGGGCTGGTTGACAGCAGGTTGTCCTGCTGCAGGTGGTTGTCCTGGCCGGGTGGACAGCTCAGCTCTCTGCTGAGCTGGAAAACAGAGGAAATGGCTTCCAAATCTGGCCAGTTCAGACCTCACCAGCACCTCTTGGTCCCATTTGCTCCCATCCTCCTCCAGCACTGGATGTGTGTAGTTCCTGGGGAGGCACCAGAGGAGGAAGCACAAGCTCTGACCATGCTACCCAGCCACATCGCCTGTAAACATTTCCTTGGTTTCCAGAGGCTTATCCCTAGCCCTCCATACTATATGGAGAGATACAGATAAATTGTGTAATCCTTCCTGAACATAAAAGTGTCTTTTGATGTACAGATCCAGCAGGGAAACAATCTGCTCAAAAGCACGAGGAAGCCTAGCCCTGCTGTAGCAGGAAAGTGTTACTTAAAATGCACTCGGGGATGGGAACAAGTCCCCAAGGGTATCGGTGGAAGCATCTCATTTGAATCTTTTTCAGTTATGTAGGAATGTAATTTTTTTAGACATCCAGTATCTAAAAGAATCCTTTGGAGGCGAAAATTGAATTAAGCCCTCTTCAAAGTTTTTTGCTCGTTTAAGAACAAAAGAGAGTGACTTAGTGGCATTCTTTGGGTTAAATTGTATCTCTGTATGTATCTATATATGCATTTATATACTCAGGGCCAACACCCAGATGACAAATGTGGGAGTTCTTTTATTATTATTCTCAGAATGTGTGTGTGTGTTTTTTTACTGAGATGCCTGGTAGTACTGCTAATGATGCTGTCGTTATCTATCTTCCTTTAGGAATTTATAACTTAGTGTAAACTACAATTTCTCTCTTATCTAACTATTGCCCATGCCTTTTTTTATTTGAATAGTTTCAAAAATAATTTGGGAAGAAAAGTCGGTCTGATTTAAGTGATGACAGGATTTTTTCCCCAATCATTTATTTCCTTGAAGTACAAGTAACAAATTACATTCCGAAGCAAGAGAAGCTTTTACTGCAGAACAAAACCACTTTTTGGGTACAAGTATTAAAAAAATATCAAGCCATATATTTACCTTAGAAAAAAAGTTCAACATAATATAGGATCTAAGTGTGCAATCCTTATTCTTATAGAGTCAAAAGGGAACTTGCTGGGTTGGTTTGAAGGTGGAAGTGAGAGCCCAGTGCCATACTGGCAGGACTTCATTGCAAAAAGCTGCTGGCTGCTGTTTACATTTCAAACATTCTCTCAATAACTGTTGTCACAACAGACAAGCAATTATAGACAATAATGTCAGTAATTTGTGGATTAAGAACTCCTTAAGGATGTATTGGCAAGGCAGACAGTAGCTGCTTTTAGCTTGCAACTGTTCACCCTTAGCTGTGCCAGCAAAACTGTTACTTCCCAGAAGCTATTGTGTTCCCTCCCCGGCAGCAAAACCATGGCAGGGGTTAAACTTCTCTGGGTCCTCCCTCCTGCCCCCAGGCCACCCTAACAGCTCTCACCCAGACACCTTAGCCTCAGAGTCATTTTTAATAGATACATCACTTTATGCATAAAATAGAAGTAGTGGTCGTTATGTCAAGGCAATGCTGGGCTAGGCTTTTACTGACAAACCCAGAAAAATCAGATTTTAAGATTCCAGTACTACAAAGCGAGGAACTCCAGGAGAAGGCCAAGCCCCAGCAGCCGTGTGTGTCGGAGGGTGCAGGACCTGTGCTGACCCTTTGATTCATCCCTCAGGACACTCATAGCTCAGGACACATCTGTATTGGCTTATGCAAAACCATGTAGTGTGTGAAACATGCCCTGTTGAGAAAATGTTCATCGTTTTGAGGATCAACAAGACAGATTTGAGTGTAGTTTGCTCTTAAAAAAAAAAAAAAAAATACTGGCATTGAAAAATACAATCCTGAAGTTTGTATGGCAATGAACATTTTCAGGGACAAATTACATACAAATACATTTTCTTTGTGATACCGTTCCTCTGTTTTAATTTCAATACAATGCATTCAGAAAAATAGAGTATGTTTAGGAAAGTGGCTCATATGATGAGGAGAAATTGCTCTTAGGAAAGCTATATATATATATATATATATATATATGTAAAGTAGTGGATAGGTTGGGAGGGTTAGGAAACCCAAGAAACGTTTTGTTCTCATTAAGTCAATTTTTTTTTTTTTTTTTTGTAGTGGAAGAATGTCACAGAAATTCCCTTAAAGGTTTTCACTATAAAGCTGGAAAATGAAGCTATATTTATTAAGCACCATTAACCTGGTTCTTCTGGCAGATATGCCTTTAAACAAAAGGTATCTCATGTGCCTGCCCGACAACACCAGCTAAACCTCCAGAGGACTCGGGTCCGTTTTGCTTTTTGTGCTTAGTAATTCCCGAAGATGCTGTAAAAGACCGTTTTAAAAAGCTTATTACTCCCAGGCACTGTGGCTGCAGGTGAGCTCGCTGGGCACGGGGGGTTCATTCGGCAGTGGCAGGGAGGCGATGCCCTGGCCCGGGGGGGGCAGTGGGGTCCTGCTCCCCAGGCCACCCGCAGCGGCTGGCTCGGCAGCCGGGGCAGGGTGCCCGGCGCAGGGCTTTGGCTGCAGAGACCTTGGCCGGCAGCTCAGTGAACAAGCGGGAGACAGTGGTTGAGGAACAGCTCTCCGGCCCTGACAGTGAAAGCGGCCTTTCGTGCGGCAGTTCCTTCCTGGAGATGGGGACTCGTCTTTTGCTGGGTTTTCAGTTGATTCTTGTTGCTTGAGTACACCCTGAAGCAGATGATAAGCGCATCTAAGATTTTAACAGGCCTTCTCTGGTACTGCCGATGTCCCTGCTGTGCCCGAGCAGAGGCTTATCTGATTTCACACCCCTGAAAACGAGACAGAAAGTTGTGCACACCTAGCACAGCTATTTGTTGTCTTTCACCTTCCCTCTTCCCAGCGCTCCGGTTCCCCGAGTAAAAAAATGTCACAAATACTGTTCCTGCCTGCCCTGCATGGGTTTTGGTTTGGAAACATCCCTCGCGCTCCCGCAGCAGGCCGGCCGGGCCCAGGCCGAGGAGCGCGGCAGCGCCCGGCCGGGCCCGGCCTCCCCCGGCGCGGCTGCCGGTCCCGCTGCCCGCCTCGGGCCCCGCCGCCCCCCGGCCCCGGGCAGCCCGAAGCCCCGTCGCGGCGCGTCCCGCCGGGCCGGGCCGGCCCCGCCGCCATCACGTGGCCGCCGAGTTTTCTCCCCGCAGCGGTATGAGGAAGTCAGAGCCGCCGCCGCCGCCGCCCGCCGCCGCCGCCGCCTCTCCGCGGCGCGATATGTGAGTACCCGCGGGCAGGGCTCCGGGCCGCGCCGACCCCAGCCCCCCCCCCGGCCCTGCCGCCGCGTCCCGGGCGGGCCCCGCGGGCTGCCGGCGCTGGCACCTGCGGGGCCGGGAGCTGCAGTCCGTGGGCAGCCGGGGGTGGGTGGGTGGGAGGCGGTGAGTGGGTCTGGGGGCGGGCCGAGGGGGGGGCGGGGGTGGTGAGCGCGGGGCGGGGCGGGGCAGCTCCCGCGGGGCTGCGCGGACGGCGGCCCCACGGTCCCGGTCCCGGTCGCGGCCCCCGGCCGGCGCGGCTCTGCTCCTCTCCCCTCCCAGCCCTCCCCTTCCCCCGGCAGGCTGGCTCTCTCCGGCTCTCGCCTCCCGGTGTGAGGCCCCCGCCGGCGCCGCCGTCCCGATGGAGGAGCCCCCGGCGGCGGAGGAGTGGCAGGGGGGGGCGACCCAGAAGAGGAAGGCCTGGGCCAAGAGCCGGGACTCCTGGCAGGCGTCGGAAGCGGAGGATTTCTCGGCAGCGGCGGCGGCGCTGGCCCGCGGCGAGGAAGAGGAGGAGGAAGAAGAGGAGGAAGAAGAAGAGGACGAGGAGGAGGATCTCGGCGGCGGGGAGCTGCCGCTGGCCGCAGAAGCGGGTCAGTGCAGGGGGCGGCGGGGCCGGGGCGGCAGCCCACGGGCCCCTGGGACCCCCGGGACCCCCGCGGGGGCGGCCGCGGCCGCCGTGGGCCGTCCCTGACGGACGGGCTGTTACTGACTGTCGGCTTCTGTCTCCCGCTCTGCCCTGCAGGCCACAGCGTTCCCAACGAGAAGATCGCGATATGGCTGAAGGACTGCAGGTGGGTGCTCCCACCGCCCCGCTCCGGCTCCCGCCACCGGAGCCTCACGGTCCCCGGTGCGGGGTGGCGGGCCGAGCGGTTCCCACGCCGCGGAGGGGAGGAAATCTCGGCGGCATGCTCTCCCGTGGGTTAGCGTGGGCACCTCCGCGCTCTGGAGCGGTGTTTGTCGTCGGCGCTGTCACGAGCCCTCCTGGAGTATAAGCGCCCCACGGTCCTGCGTGGGCCCTACCTCCAGCCGTGGCAGCGAGGGGAGCAGTAGCTTATGTACGTATGGCTAGAGCAGAGCCGGCTGCTGGCACCTTGGTGTCTCATTAGTGAGGCTGACGGCTTTCAGCCGCTGAGGGCGAGGAAGGCGGCATTATTTTGGAAGCGGCTCAGTTTCTCACAGAGGGGCTCCGGTTTAAAGACTCCCCTGTTGCTCTGCCTGGTTTTTGCTGCAGATTTCAAGAAACGGTGCTTACACGGCAACAGCCTCTGTGCTTAGGGGTCTTTAGGAGCGATGGCACAATTTAGACAAACTCGATTTATCCGAGTCTCACTCAGTGCCCTGCATCCTTAACTTGAGACGTGGTATATATATTCTGTGTTTCTGCTGCTGTTACAAAACGCTTCCTTGGTGTTTGGAACAGGCTGACTGTGTTACTTTTTCCTCATCCTCAGTCACATAAAAGCATAAATGCTACATCCAGTAGCAGCTGCTTTTGTCCTGTCCTTTTCTCCATTCAATCCTAGCAGCCCTTGGAGCCAGAGTTGATGGGAAGAAGCTAATAATTAGCTTTCCAGTGGCTAACAGTGACATTTCAAGACCTCCCCTACTTGATATTTCTGATTTCCTTCTCCTTTTGAGAGCAGCTATGTTAAGATGAAAATTTACCTCTGAGATTAGCTGTGCCTTTGTGATCTTTTGATCCAGTAAGCGGCTGACTGAGCTTACTCCCGTAACTGAAGTACGGGTTGCTTTATAGCTACAGGGTCCTTGGTAGAGTTTCCTTCAGATCTTTGCGGGATGTGCCTTGGAGGGGGTGTTGGCAGCTAGAGGCTTGAAATCATACTGTATCCATAAAATACGATGTGCGAACCTGACAGGCTGCTCTTCCAGAATGCCAAAAAGTGAGGAGATTTTTCTGACTTTACCTGAAATCTGGTGTCCTGTCGGTCTAGGAGAGTTTATCCTTAAAAATAAGCGTTATGAATTAAGTGCATTATTAGAAGTATTTTTTGAGTGGGGAGGGCAAAAAATGGAGCAGTGGAGGGGGAAGAGGCCCCTGGGGGAGAAATTCTTCCTAATAATGCAGTGCCACTTCTCTCCGTATCTGCAGGATTTCTGTCTAGAACCTTCCCTGGCCCTGCGATCCTTACCGTTTCCATACAGAATTTAAGGAATAGCACAAAACTGCAGACAGACAATGTGAACATCAAATAGGTGGTTGCAGAGCTTCAGTAATAACACAAAGCTTGCAATTTTATTCCTGTGCTCTTTAACTGTTGTTAAAACTGGCACCAAATGCTTCTGTGGAATGTATTTGCATCTCTGGCGCTTGATTCCCATAATATGGGAATCTTATTTTACACTCTATTTCCCTATTTTATACATAAGAAAATAAAGCATGAGTTTACCCTTTTGCTAATATGGAGATGCAAATTTATTTAATGCATGTTTGTGAAACCCATGATGGGCATTCCGCAGGAGTCTTTGAAAGTATAGCTATTTACTGTTCTAAATCTTTTCAGAACAATCTTGTGTTCTCCTTGGAAAGAAAAAATTGGCATTTTTAAAAAGGTTTCTTAAACTAAGCTACTCAGACTGGAGTTAGCCTCTGACTGTAACGTGCAGAGTGCGTGCGTACACGGTTTGTATCTGAGAGGTACAATCGCAGCTGCCTGAAGTGGTGCACAGCCCCTTGTGTTTTTAAAACTGCAGAATGATTTCCTTTTTTTGTATCTAATATACATGGGAGCAGTCGCTTATATGTGCAGTAAAATGATTATTACACTTGCACTGTTATAAAGTGACTGTATGTGTAGAAACCTTGCACTGATTGTCTCTAGATACAGTGTATATAGGAAAAGAGAACAGCATGAGCAGATGACAGAATAGCCCTACAGATACTATAGTATGTTGTTTAAAAAAGAATACTTAATACCAACAGTTGTTGTGAAATTTACAATTGTTGTCCTCCCTGAAAATTCTTATTTGTTTAACAGCACTGGTTTTGCTGTGGAGCTTTGATTGCTATGAAGTGTGGGCAACACACACAGGCTGAGCTTCTATTTCTTGTCCATCGCACAACCTCATTCTCAGAAGTCATCTCTGTTGCAAAAATATAACCATTACTACAAGTGAACGTCCAATTACTAAAATAAAGTATTTTCTGATACATATTTTCTAAAAGCAGTCCTTCCTGTTTTGTCCAAGTTTTTATCAGCTTTTGTGAAATGTACATCAGAAGAAAATTGGCACTTTAAAAAACTCATTTTCTGGTTTGAATTGGCAGCAGCACAAAAAACCTTAATATCAACCCACTGCATAAATAGACCTGCTCATAAGATTTATTCCTTTGTTGTTTCCAAAAGCATCAACAGTGTTATAATATGGATAAAAAGAATTACTAGCTGTCCCTTGATATTCATGTTAGCGGTTTGGGGCTCTTACTACTTGGAAACTCTGTTTCACATCTGCTTTGGAGGAGAAAGGAGTGTTCCTAATACCCCACTCCATTTAACTTGGTAGACACGTGGGGGTTTTTTTGGTGTTTTGGTTTGTTTTTTTGTGTTTGTTTTTTTGTTTGTTTGTTTTCTTTAAAACAAACAAACAACAACAAAAAAGAAACACACAAAAACCCCAAACAACTAAGAGCAAAACAACTGTGACAAGAATTATGGTATCATAAGAAATGTAAGGTGTTACCCAAAGTTTCTGGTTCATTCATGTTTTGGGAATCTCATGGCTTTGAGAAAGAAATATTTTGCTCTCTCCCTGATACTTTGAAAAGGCATTTTGAAGTAATAAGAAAGCTTACAGAGGTTTTTTGTTTTAACTCTTGTAAAGCTAAGACAGAAAACAGAAATGTTTGTACAATACTAATAGAAAAGAAGAAATTTTTGTCAACTCTGGTGATATGTATTATTTTGACTGAGTATATTTAAACTCTGCCAGTAATCCAGGGGATGCAGGAGGTATTTAGGAGCCATCTCCTGTAGATATGCAGGAAGTGAGTTCTTGAAATGCCTCAGAAAGAGGAGATTTTTTGCTTCAAGTTTAAAATAAACATGGCTCCTGCCCAATTAAGGCTTTAAAAGCTGAGGTTTCACAGCGTGGTGCAAAACCCTTGTCCCGTTCCTGAAGACCACCCTACCACAACTGGTAGCTGAGCAAACAAACCTCTGGGATGAGAGGAAGCCTTGAGGGCTGCTTACGGTACTCTTACCTGCTCAGTACCGACATCCCGTGGCAATGTGGGAGTTCATTCAGTTCTTTTGTAGACAGATACTGAGAAAAGTTATTGCCATATATGTTCAAATACAATAATAAGTGAGTGAATGGAAGACCATAGGATCCCCTGATCCAGGCACATGCCTGTTTACTTGCTTTTTGCTCTGGCTGCCCTCTGGTCGCTGTTGGCCTCCCCGTGCCGCTCCTGCGACATGCTGGGGACCTGCCGAGATCTCACCTCGTCCTGAGGGCCCAGCAAGTGGAAGGGTCCCCCAGCCCTGACCTTCCCCAGTGCACAGGGCTACTCTGAGACAGAACCGGCCAAGCTGGCCTGTGGGCCTCGCTTGAGTGAAAAACAGCCTGGCACAGAAAAAGGCAGAGCTGTCCGTGCTATTGCCCAAGAGGATTTTTGTGTGGATACTTGTCCCTTGTTTAAACTCGTGTTGTGTCTAGTTCTTAAATGCAAGTTTTTCAAAGGC